ATGAGGATAGAAGAACCGGCCAACTGATAAATTAAACCATGCATGGCTGCAGCTCTTATGAGCACATATGGATGTAATTAATAATGATATTGTTGGGAGATTACTAAAGAGGAAAACATGCTGTTAGAGTTAGAGCAAAATGCTCTGGACTTAAGCTGAGAACCTCGGCCTAGTGCCTCGTGCTGTAACAGGTAGAGGAATGCTGAGTCAGGAGCTAACAGCACACAGTGGTGAAAGAATATTCAGATGCTTTACTGAAGTCAAAGTAGCAATACCACAATTTAAAAATAGGTCATTACAAGTCTTGCATTTAAAATTTAAAAAAAAGTATTCTCGGCTAAGTATAAAGGCTTGTGTTAAAGGAATAGTTCAACATTTAGGGAGATGCACTTATTTGCTTCCGTGCAGAGTTAGATGAGATTCCACTCTCTATGTTAAATATGAAGCTAGCGCTAGCAGCCGATTAGCTTGGTTTAGTATAGAGACCAAGTCTCTCTTCTTCTGGTGGACCACCATAGGACCTTGTTTCTGAAAAAATATGTAAGATTCAGCGAGAGACAAATATTTTTTTGCAATTCAAGAAGGTTGCAACGTGTCGTGAAGCTTTTGTAAAAATATGCCATTAGAAAAACCACGCAAAAGTTGCATAAGTGGTGTGATGACTTTCCTTCTGCTCAAGCTACCCAGAGCTGCTGAAGCTGCAGTGTGTTGTGTACAGAGATATAGCCACATTATCAACTGTTGGTGTTGGTGATGTACACCAATCAGCCATAACATAATGACCACCAACCCCATCTGTAACAAACTGCTTTTCAATTGACGTACATCATATGTGTAATTCATGGCACCATTTAAACGGGATGAAAAAATTATATTTTTCGCCGTCGAACTCCGTACATATTTTTTCCACTGGAAGGGGGGTTTTTCTATAAAGACTAGAAATGGGTGAAACAGCTAGCCTGGTTCTGTCCAAAGCCAACAACATCCACTGATGTGCACCTCTAAAGCGCACTCATTAACAACACACAGTATGTATTGTTTGGAAGTGTAAAAGCATGTTGTTTTAATGGACATGGCCAGGCTAGCTGTTTTTCTGTGTCAAATCTTTGAGCTAAGCTAACTAGCTTTATATTATTCAAGAAGTAAGTTACAGTAGTCACATAAATCTAGTGGAGTAAAAACTATAATATTTGCCTCTGAAATGTAGTGAAGTAGATGTATAGATTAGAATAAAGTAAAGTAATTCAAAACTGTACTTTCATACAGTTATTAAGTGAATATACTAACCTTCCACAGTTGACAGTATGGTATGTGGGTAAGGACACAGCGTCACTGCTGCAGTGTGGAGGAATACTGTATGTGTCCCATTGTTCCCAGTTGGATTGAGGTTTGGCACAATGCCTTGGAACTCCTTTGACTCCGGCACCGTAGTAAAATAGTGTTTACCCTTCCTGGATGGTATCCTGCCAGTGTACACAGACAAGATGTCTCACAATTCCTATGGAATAAAATAACTTGTTACAGCTTGCATAAACCCATGTAAAGCTTTGTCTGTACAACCCCAAACCACCCCTACTTCCACACACTCCCTGTCTCTGCTGCATCCCTCTCAGGGTATAAAATATCCCTCTGTGGTTGCCATTAACATTCACCCAGGAAGCTCAATCAGTAGCCAATTCTGGTTTTCCCTCCTTTTTGTAATTAGGCCCCAGGCCTTGTGTGGGGTAAGCCTATGCATTCTGGCTGAGAAGACGCTCTGAGAGGGGAATTGCGGTTTGGGAAGCCTGTGCTGGAAAGAACTGTCTATCGGAGCCAGCAACTTGCCCCTTTCTGATTTGACACATGCCCTACGATGTGACAGAGTCTGCAGACAGGATGCAGCCTCGACATGTGCACGGCCGAGGCAGCTGCCAGAGAGCCTGGAGCTGAGAAGCCGGCACAACAACCAGAAAGTCCCATGGAGGCCGCAGAATATCCTCTGGAAGAAGATCGCAGCAGTCTGGAGCCTCCTGGTCAAGAGGCTTAGGAGTACAAGCATCGCCTGAAGCCAATAGTTTTAATTCCACGGGCAAAAGCTCTTCATATTGATGAAATTACCACATAGCCTCACACACACTCACTCACATGCACACACAAACTCAAGCTGACACAAAGGCATGCCTGCACATTGTCTGCACATTCATAATCACACTTTCATAACCACACATTCTCTCCCTCTCTTTCTCAAACACACACACACGCTTTTCTCAGGGATGTTCTCTTGCCTTGGGAGGAAATTATTTCCCAGCATTGAAGCCCTTGGAGAAAAAATTAAGTTTGTGCTCATGCTGGTGCAATTGTGTAGGGGAAAAATAAGACTGGATAAACAAGGAGATATTGTGCAATGACCAAAAAATATCACATTTGCCAGATGACCTTACCGCTTCATATGCAATGCTTGCATTTTATTATGCAATACAACCCCCCCACCCCGAGTCCACAAAAACATCCCACCTCCATACCAGTACACAGCGAAGCCATTTAGAAGCTTTGACTGTGCTATGTAGATTGGATGAATGAAATGTGGTTAACTCTCAGAAGTGTATCCAAGGCAAAAAAAACAACAACCCTACTTTGATGAATGCATACCTGTCAAACATTATTTTCCACAAAATGAATTTCATCATGAAAACAGAGCTAATTTGACATGACAATCCAAGCAAATCTATGCAAATACACCAGAATCAATGAATTTGGATTTATTATAATGTACGAGTGTTAATATTCAACGCTAATTGAAATGGATCAGAAGCATGGAAAGCACTGGAGAGGTGCCCATTATTGTGAATTTGTTAAGTGGGTCCTGGATGGCCGGTTGTGCGGCAACCGGAGTTGTTATCTCCTCACAGCTCTCCTCTACAGGTCAGGTGCTATTTGACTGATCCACCCTCACTGGTCCGACCGACTGCTTCTCCCGCATCTCCATTCCCAGAAAACAGGGAGTGGGTCGTGCCGCCCCTGCTCGAAGCCAAAACACTATTTCATCACCAGGCCTGGTTGTGTGACTGGACAGGGCAGGATTTAGCACTGCATGCCTCATCCATCTTTAGCTCTCCCAGCCTCTCCCCCTAAAACAGACAGAGATGGATGAGCAAGCTGGAGCCCTGCTCTCCCTTTCCACTCACTCCCTCACCTTGGGAAACTTGCTTGCCCCTGCTCCGGTCCTGAGCATCATGGAGCAGCTTGCTTCTCCTTCTGTCTTGTAGTGCTCTACTTTCTTGTTCCATCAGTTTCTCTGACCCCCACCAAAATAGTCTGTATTCTCCCTGTGAATACTCAGTTCTGATTTGCTGCATGGTGTCCATTAATTCCTGATAATGGACAGCTCATCGGGGCATTATCTCTTACATAATGTCTATCAAGTGTTGGGCTGAGGGTGACGGAAATGTGTTTTACAGATATTTGGACCTTAACCAAAGTATAGGACCAGGTTTTCCCAAAATCTTTCATGTCAAGGACCCCCAAAATACATCCACATTAGACCATGGACCCCACTGAGAAGAGTTTGTCTTAAGTATTCTCCTCTGAGTATTTTATTTTATTTTTTGGTTTGAAGACAAAGTGTCAATCAATTAAACTGGGGTCCACTAACCCCATTTCTTTCCTTGGTGTTCCAGCTTCAAAAAAATGTGATGTTATATTATATTTGTCCCTCTGCTGGGGACCCCTTACAACCCACTCAAGGACCCCTGTTGGTCCCCGGACCCCAGTTTTTAAAAAAAAAAAAACCCCAGTGTATTGGACTAAATTAAAGTAACACATTTCATGGCAATTCCCGTCAATACGTTTCACTCAAATCCACAAACGTCAACCTCATGGTGGCGATTTCCTCACGCTAGAGGAAAAGCTAAGGAATCACCAATGCATTAAGGCTTCATCCTCTGGGGACCATAAATATCTGATCCAGCCAATAGTTGGAGTTATTTTAGTCCGGAATGAAGTGGTGGACCATCCAACTGACAGACCGGCATTGCCAGAGCCATCCTTTCTAGTAAGGCTAAAAGTAGTTTTATGTACAACAATCTTTCATGAGCATCTATTCCTCTCATTGTGGAGGAAGAGGAAACTACTTCTCACAGGAGCCCAAACACAAGATAAGCTGTCTGATAAATGCAGGCAACCCGCAACAAAAACGTGTTTTGAACATGTATTGTCTCCTCTGATTAATTTAATGTAATACTTTAATTTCTCCCTCAGTGCAAGCCTTAGGTAGTTCACTGTCATCCTTGCTTTTGATGAATAGGCTGATCAGGTAAGGCTCTATCCCGGTGTAAGCTTATCATCCCAGAGCTCATCCTGTTCTGCTAACCTGGCCGCTGCAGAGCAGCCGAGGACAAGCAAACCCTCTCCAGGGGCTAATCTCCAAGGGAATCCAGGATTATGGGAAGCACTAATAGCGAATCCCCTACACACACTACACTGAGCCAGCGGCTTAGCGGGGTTAAAAGGCTCTCTCATCGCCTTCCTGTGTCTTTTGGCCCGTGTCTCTGCTGTCCAGGTATGGACCGACGAGATGTTCACAAGCTCTGAACTACTGGGACGAAGGTTGAAAAGGCTGTCAGGAGCTGGAGGTGTGTGTAAACAGTTTGATGCTCACACGGCAGGGCCAACATGCTGTTTTTCTTGACTCTACAAGGATATGTTTGGATAGCACAGCTTTACTCAAGGAGAAGACTGATCAGAATTCATGACTGACAAATGGTGCGTAACCTCCTTTTTTTTTCTTTTTCTTGCTCAGCAAATCAGTTGCAGACAGGCAAGAAATAACATTACATACAGGTTAAGTTTAGTTGATGTTGAGTGCATGACAGTGATAGCATACTTCCAGGTGCACACTGTCACTCATTGCTGCATGCAGTTTAAGGTTTTACCCAGAGTTCTTCATCCAAACTACAGATGGCACTATTGCCTCATTATGGTTGGCACTGGATACCGATATCTCATATTGATGACCCATCAAACTGATTGATAACTTTTATTCCCCATTTATAAGTGCATAAACCTTTGCAAGTACAGCAACATTTACATGGGAGCTACAACACAAAAAAAGAATCACTCTGCTTCAAATGAAACAGCTTTCACCCTGTAACTCTTCAAAAAGAGCTTCATTTAGCCTCAGCCCTTTTCCTGTAAAAATAACTCAAGTCAGTTTATGCTCAAACGTCCCCTGGCTTTCATTGGTTCCGCCAGATTGGTGAGGCAAATCAAATGCAGACACATTCATCCACTGACCAAGGCCAGAGTATTAAAAACTTGAGAAAACGGCTTTCCACACTCTGGGCTTTGAGCTGGTGACCTCTCTAAATTTAAAAGCCGTCCAAAAAAGACCATAAACTCAACACTCAAGTTTTCCATCAGCCGAAGAGTGAAATTATGAGACAATTGCCATGACTTAATAAACAAAAGAAATGGAAGTAACAGCTGACCCTGCACGGGTGAGTGACAACATAAGATGATCATGAGGATCAATTCAGATTCAACAATTACAGAACCCAGTGAACTGACTGTTCTCTAACAGCAGAGGAAACCAACCTCTCGCAGCACTAAGATGTCTTTCTTCCCCGTCTGTCATGAAAGTTCCCAGATTCATGAATACAATTTTTTTTTTCCCTTCCCAACTTGTGGCGTGTTAATTACTGGCAGCGTTCTCTGAGGCTCTCTAAACTGAAATGACAGAGGTGTTCCTCAGTGTGCTGAAGCTGGTTCAGCTGCTGTCTGGGGTAATTGAAAGGCAGGATTTCCCAGCTGGAATCAGTGGGAAAGAAAAGGGCCTTTTTTATACCCCTGTTGTTACCACTGCGGCCTTCATAATGAGGAATGTCTCCCAATCTTCTCCAGGACTTTTATAGCAGGTTCAAATGTGTCAGTAGGTGTTCACTGCTGGGGACAACATGACTATTTAGATACATGGAAATTCAAAAAAAAAAAAAAACAACAGACTAACTGCTCCTGCGCTGCTATAAAACACCCAAAATGCATTTTCATCAACTTGGCTATCAGTCCTACTTTTATTAATACATTTTGATAGATTAGACAAATGAAAAGTTTTATTAAAGATGTTTCATTTACAGATAGTACAGAGACAGTTAAGGACCTCAGTGCAGACAGGTGGAATCTCCACATTCTCTTTATAAATAGCATTTACTGTACAGCTTGTTATATTTCCTGGTCAGAGTTGTAGCCTTGGTGTGCTAATTAGTGATATCAGTTCAAGGTGAACATAAAAGACAACATGGGATGGGGAGGGACAGTATAATTCAGTCTGGGGGAAAACACAGCTGGTTAATGCTATGCAGAACTTCTTTAAATTAATTTGAGGAATTGGAATTTTCTGTTGTAGTTTTCAGATGGGTGGGGGAATCTTTGCACTTGTCCATGTCAAGTTCAATCAATTACAAAACCAAACTTGATGGGATAAAGAAATAAAAAAAAAAACAGTTAAAGATCCGGTTCTGGTCACATTGAAAGGCTATTTGAGCTGCCATGTTGCTCCAAGTGGCTGTGTGTGAACAGAAAGGGAAGAGAGAAGGTGTGGTTGAGGGTATCTAGGACATGGTGATCTGCATGGACTCCAGCATCTCCTCCACCGCCTTCATGGAGCATTTGTTCTCCTTTGTGCCGCGACCGGCCATCTGCATGTCAGAGAGGGAAGGAGAAAGGCAGAGAGAGACCGAGTGAGACAGTAAGAAAGAGAGGAGGAGAGGGGAAAAGAGAACATCAGCTCATTGGTAAGGAAATGCAGAGCCAAACACACTTGAACACAGCACAAACATTCCTGCCGCACTTTGTAAAGATAGAAGCACAAATAATCAGAGAGACAACAGTGGTCATTAGATAGAATTGGTAAACAAGTCATGCAATGTAAAATAATACCTCCAATTGAGAGGGTTTTTCCTTGACTGTTGCATAAGTGCCATTTTAGTCCTCCGTGTGTGTGAGAGCTCCGAGACAGGATGCCCACATGATTAAGTCCACTTCCATGGCCTCTAGTACAGGAGTACATAACTAATTTCTACACTGTGTCCAAAGGGTTTCACAGGAAGTGCCGCAAATTATAATCCACAAGCACATCCAGGATTACTCATGCGTACACATACAGGCACACACTTTTTCTACCCAATTAAACTTTGCAACAGACAAAGCATCCATCCCCTCGAAAAATACCACAGAGAAAAGACAACTTCCTTAACCTTGGGCAGGCGGACCAGGGCGGTAATAAAGGGTCAGTCTAATTAAAGGTCCACTGTGTAACATTAAGGAGGAACTACTGGCAGAAATGAAATATAATATTCATAAGTATGTTTCCATTAGTGTATTATCACCTGAATACAGGAATCATTATGTTTTTATCATCTTAGATCGAGCCTTTGATATCTACAGATGCAACCTTCAATGAATCCACAATGTTGAACCACCGTGTTTCTACAGTAGCCCAGAAGGGACAAACAAAAAACTGGATCTAGATGGGGCTATTTGCGTTTATTTGCTTATCAATCATCATACAAAAATCTGCTGCTGTGTAGATATGTCAGCAACAGCTACAACACAGCTGAACAGCAAAGGACGAGCAGGAGGCAACAGCATGGCGGGGTCCTTTCAATTAAATCATTATAAAAACACCATTACCCAGAGTCAAACACAGGCAGGGGATAAGGTTTCAATGCTGCCTCCGCATGTCCTCCAAGGTGAGAGATGTACCCCTTGAGTGTGTGTGCACACTAGACAGAAGCACACACACACACACACACACACACACACACACACACACACACACACACACACACACACACACACACACACACACACACACACACACAACACACACACACACACACACACACACACACACACACACACACACACACACACACACACACCACTGTAAACATAATAATTTCAATACTTAAAACACACAAGTTGGCTGATGGAATTTAAGTCTTGTGCCCTCACCAAGACCATCTTGGCTTTCTTCCAAAACCACCACACAGTCCCTCCTCTACATTCTATTTGTGGAATAACACAGCAAAACAGACAACACTTAACCCTATGTTCAAAATAAAGCAATGCTTTTAACACTGCAAGGTATTTATTCATTCAACCTGTGGCCCTGCTCAGGCTTTTACAAACAGGAACTTACTGTAGCCTAAACTTAGCCTATACTGTATTTCCATGGTAAAAGGTTTCCTCTTCCTTTTGCCAAACTCTAAGTTAGAGAAGGCAGTTGGCTAAGGTGTGCAATTGGCAACGTAATTTCCCAGTGTGACTCATTCTTCTAGATTTAGAGTGTATGTGTGTGGTGGGGTAGCTATAATGATCAGTGCATTTCATTGCCTTGCTGCCTAATGCGCCATTACCCCGGGCCCGGTAGTCAATTATCTCCTCAGCCTGAGGTGAGACCACCACATTAACTCCTGTCCTGTTCCACAACAGTAGGAGCAGACCAGACAGCTCCACATCTATTTAGAGCATCTGATAATAGAGTCATGACGCAGCGGGAGCCCGTGGTCCGTGACAGAGGAGCTAATCAGAGAATCTGTTGAGAGTTGGGGCAGAAGGGCAGGCCATGCAGTGCTGCTTTGAAGCCCCTTGCACCTACATGCCACACATCTCCAGGTCTTTCACACATCAACCGACCCCACCAAGGTAATTACTTTTTTTCGTTTTTTTAAAATGGGCCTCAGTCAGTCATGACCTCTCGCTGACGTCTGCTCCCACTTGCACTCACCTGCCCACCTTTTTCTCTCTCTGAGGTATGACAATCACCAGGTACCGGGGTCTAATAAAAGTGGACGACTGACACGAGCAAAGCTTTAAAGGGGCCATCAATCAGCAAGCACAAGCCCACAGCAGTCTGCAGCTGTCTGGCGGAGGCCCACGCCGCCGCTCCCTTTTAAGGATCTCAGAAGTCATTTGACTGGAGGTGGGGAGTAAAAAAAATAAAAGGAGGCAACCTCACACCTTGTCATTTAACTTGTCTCACACAGCAACCGCAAAAACATCTACAAGTGCACACGTGCGTGATGCCAGGCTTGCCTACACATACTGTACATACACACTCACAGCTGAGTTGAAATCCCAGTACAACCTCACTATTACCAGGCAAGTTCAACAAATACAAAGGTTGTAGAGCAGGGGAGAAGCAGAGGGGTGGGGTGAAGCTCACATCATGTTCCCTGGAGGACAAAGGTGTGATTGACTGAGGTGTCTCATTATCGTCACCAGGGGGTCAAAGCCGTATATAGTCAAAACTTAAACACTTAGGTTCTGTCCACTGGCCTCTAAGAGTAGCTGAAGTATTTCAGTCTGTCGTCATAACAACTCAACCGAAACTATTTTCTTCTGGGCAACTACACCATGGCCTGTCTGTTACAGTGAGGCCCATATCAGCTTCTGCTGATACTGCTGACACCGATTTAAACTTCAGTCTTGTTTATCCATTTAGAGGCGTGAAGGATAAATATGTAACTACTAAGACTAGTAAAATCAGACAATAGGATTCATTTTACTAGCTTTTAAGATAAAAATGTTGCAAAGTGTTAATTGACAACTGAAATCTGTGCCCATTAAGTACAAAAAATCTACTGAACTTAGTCATATGTAAGGCAGTATTTGGGTAGCAAATAGCTATCCATTTGATTCATTACAGCCAACATCACCAAACACAGATGTGTGTTCCCTGTCTGTGGCTAAACCCTCTCCCACACCTCCTTGGCAATAAAGAAAATAATTTAGCAGGGAAAACATCTGCTACATACTGGTTATGCTACTGTCTAATCCCTGTAACAAGTTTTAGATTAAGTCCCCAAGTAATCTGTTCCAAAGCTTGTTTGATGTACTTACACAAAGCCTGGCAACTAATGTATCAGTAACAGTTTTGAAATATAAAATATAAAAGTGCAGATTAATCCACAAATTAAACAGACCATAACAGCATCTTTTTACCTTGCCCTTCTACTCAACTTCAGCTGAGCAGCTCGCACCCATCCCTTGTTTTTTTTTTTCAGATATTTGGATGTTGCTAAGTTCCCTCCAAATATGATCTTTTTTCACACTTTGTCCCTCTCCCTCTTTTAGGCCTGTGATTTATGCTTAAAAGTTAGCAGCTTGGGATATTCATCTTGTCCCCTGCTGGGATCAAAGACTCTCTGAGACAGCAAGGTGAGGTCAGCAAGCATACTGATCAAAGTGGGGTAAGTGTGGACTTGACATCAATCGAGACATCTGATTGACTAATTTTGTTGACCAAACCACCTCTACATTTTTCTATTTATCAAGGAGATTTATTATATCTGCATACATATGAAGTGTTGAGCTAAACAAAACAGGCTGCACCACTACAATTGATTCCATTTTAACTCAAACCTAAAGTAAAAGCTTAAAAGCTCTTCCATGACACTTCTACAAGAGCTCCAGAAGGGCACAGCCATTCACTGTGACATTAGTTACATGCACACTTTTTCCAACAGAGCCCTCATCCTTGTCTTGAGTGCTCGACACGTGAAATGTGTCTATGAGTGTGGTGAGACGAGGTCTTTAGAGGCTCAGCAGGGAGCCTCTCTCTCTCTCAACAGGACCCACAAGCTGAGCAAGGAACCGCTTATTACATGTTTAACTGCTGATGCCCAAATAAGCAACACATATGGTCCACATGGCAAATAAGATGTCTTTTAAATATGCTTTTATACTTTGGTGGCCATGACAACGGCATAAACCATTCTAGCGATACCGTCTGAGCGGCTCACTTTTTCCCCTCCTTGCTTTATAATATGTGAGCACACATGCAAACACACTGCCATCCTTTATCTTCCATTTGCCCACTTCCCTACTCTCTGTATGGTAATATCTCAGTCACAATTTAAACCTAGAGGGTCCTAAATGTTTTCTTCTTACGGACTGCCGGTAATCAGATTTACTTTTCTGGGCACCTATCTAGGAAGATATAAGGAAATGTAGAAACACTGCAACTGATAAAGAAAATTAAAATCTATACTTAGGCTTGTAAATTTGATGGGGACCTCCTAGAGTCTGTTCAACGGCACGTGAGGGTCACTGATCCTCGCTCTGAGAACCAGTGAACTACACAACTCTCTGCTACAGTCTAGCGTGAGTGTCGTCCTCAGAGAATCAGCTTGTGGCTCTGTGAGAGGCTCATCTGTGAAGCCAGGGTGTGTGGAATAAAGTCTTAGCAGACGTTGCGGCCTTAAATCAACACATTAACAGTAAACGTACCCAGACACACTGAAAGACACCAGGGTTGTTATTACAAACACTGCAAGTCAAAGGCATCCTTCAGGACTGCTGTGCATTCAGGGGTCATTTGGTGGTGAATATTTTTCATACATACTATGCAAATGAGGGGATTTCTGGATGTCTGGATATTGTGTGCAAATACCCCATGAAAGCTAAAACACAACAGAAGAGTCATGAGATAATATGATTGGTGGTTTTCACTGTCTGGCAGAATGAAGGGGAATGTGGGAAAAAGTAAAAAATATATTTTTTCAGCACAAGACAGACACATCAAAGATAGAGAGGCGAGACAAAAGTAATGAAGATAGTGGCATGGATGAAACATATAGGGAAGGTAGATTATCAAACCTAATGCTACTCCATATGTGACTCACCTTATAGGCTCTATTTATCTGAGTGGCAGCCCAAGCAGCGTACTTCATATTGTCCTTCTTCACCTTGGCACTGACTTTTGGACTGGCAGAGATGTGACTCGCAGACTAGAGGAAAAAAAGAAAAGGGGAAGAAGCAGCAAAGGAGAGAACAGGGGAAGGGGTGTTCTTATATCAAAACTTGGTGAAACAGCAATAAAAGCGTAATTGAGATGAATGTGCAACCACTCTTACCATCTACCACTCCACTAGTCATTGTGGCAGAGTGAAGAGAAAAAACAGACCTTGGCCTGATGACACAGGAGAAATCATTTATGGGGAGGAAAAAGTGAGTGCTTTAATGCTTCATACGTAAATTGTCACTTAACGGGGGCCTAATTTCTCCAACACCATCGATTCCCGGCGATGAAAGGACCTTGTATGTCTTAAAAAAAACCTGGTGAGCAGTGAGAGTAGCGCTGTGTGAATCACGGTCTCTGCCTGCCCCGACAGCTCCCCTCCGAACCACAAATCCCATGTCTTTCCCATGTTCCTGCCATCATCTCCACACAGCAAACCCCAGAGGGCTTACCCTGCCTGCACTTCAAAGCCCTCTCCACCAGTGCACTGAGTCTTTAACTACACACCAATCAACCTGGCCCTGCTTTTTCTATCAAATGGTTTGGCTTCTGTATTTTTTTTAGTAAGCATTTTCTTTCTTTCTTTTTTTTTTTCACTCGAGAGAAACCTTAATTTAGATTATGTCAACCCTGACAGGCTATCCCCGGATAACAGTGTGCACCGTTATGGAGGGGAATCCCCACGTAAGAGTTGTGAGTAACTAACCCTCAACCCAACTGTGGTCAGTGGTACCAGTTCTTCTGTCGAACTGACTCAGGCGGTGTGAGATGGTGAAAGTTTCCTGCCCTTTCACTGAACCTCTTGCACCTGTCAAGATCTGGACCACCGAGACTAGCTGACAATCTGCAAAACGCACTCTTAGGACAGAGCCGTGACCGATAAAGAATAAACTCCCACCTGAAGTAACCATTAAAGACCTGTCAGTTGATGACTTGTCAGGAAACAGTAGGGTCTGCTCTGTCTCCAGACGAACGTGAGAGTTAACAGAAGCGCATGTCTTAGTTTGACCCTGCCCTGCTCCTCCTGTACTCTACACCTCAGAGCGCTTGCAGAGGGTACAGGCTCCTATGAGGTGTTTGGACTACCTGAAGACTCCCAGTGCAGCACACAGGAAAACAGTGGGGCTCTCTGTGTAAGACCTGCTTCCCCTCTCCACATTTTTATTCCCTGCACTGCTTCGTTTGTGTTTTTATGTCAAGTCTCACTTATATATGATGCATTGGCACTAGCAGACAACATCCTGTTTAAACAAATATGTAGATGAAAGGGCTGTTGGGCCAAAACTACAATCAAACTGGCACCTGGTTGGATAGTTTGCCAGTGACAAAATGCTTGCAGCAGTTGTACTGCTCTCTTTCTTGCACTTCTCTTTTTTACTCTGTGACTGCTTTATTTATTTAAGTCAAACATAAAAAAAAGTCTCACCAAAGGGGTATTATTACTAAAATAAAGAGCTCCAGAGGGGCAGACTTTTCCGATGCTGGAGTTCACCGTCTGAGTCAGCAATGAGCTGACCTGTCTGAGAGCCCCTTCTTCGCTCCCCCCAAAAAACACACACCATCACACACACACACACACACACACACACACACACACACACACACACACACACACACACACACACACACACACACACACACACACACACACACACACACACACACACACACACACACACACACACAAAATACAGTCTTACTTGACACACACAGTGGCCAGCCTCAACCTTGACAAACCACAGGGTTACAAAAAAGGTTCTACTGTTTTTGTTTTTTTCTTTCTCTCCTTCTCTCCCACTTTCTCCCCATGCAATGCAGTACTCACCATGTACAGACCAAACAATGCCCTCATGTTTCGGTTGTTCAGCCTCAGTGCCTGGGCAAAATACTTTCTGGACAGCTCCAGGTTTTCCAGCCCCCCCTGCGTGTACTTCACCTGTGTGAGGAGGCATTAAACACGGCCAATAAGCTCTGCTAAAGGGCAGCTCAAGCAATGACAGCATGACATCTGAATAAGCAATACATGACAACCCAGTGTAAACACATCTCCTTTCATGAGCCTCTATTCCCAGTGACGTTAAGTGCGTGTCGGTGTCTCTCTGTGTTACAGAGAGGCACATTTATTCCACAGTTTGCCCCCATGCTTGATGACGGATATCCAGGCGGGTACCTACCTCAGCGTACTGCTCACAGTACAAGTGATTGTGAGGATTGGTCATCATCAGCTCCTCCAGACAAAACGCGGCTTTTCCATAGCTGTGGAAATGACAAGAAAAACAGTAAGTCGATTGATACAGCTGTGGATGTGTCATCCTTTAGCTTGCTCAACTGTGAAGCACAACATCTATGCCCAATAAATTTACAGGTATAAATCTGAATTGAAAACTACAAGGGGTACAGGTCAGTTTACACGCAATGGACTTAAAGCCTATGTTGCGAAGATCCTCCACATAACGTTTATTTACAGGCTTACAGTAAAGATTACCCAGTCCAGACAGCTGGCGAAGGTAAAAGCCTATCTAGTGTGGTGATTCTCTCTCCTTTGGGGACACTGAGGATCAATCTTGTCCGTCTGTATGTTTTTTCAGTCTTTAATGTGTAGTTAACTACCTTCCTGAGGTCAGCACTACAGTAAAAGCTGGCACACTGTGCCTATACTCAGATGAGATCACTTCTCAGCAGCAGACTGCTGAGCTGTTGACCTCACACTAATCTGCTGCCACTCCACTTCTAATACACAGTTTCCCCTTCACAGTCCCAGGCCAAGACGAGCTAAGATACAGTATATCATTGAACACAAAGCCATAAAACGTCTGTGCACCTAGCAAAATAAAAGCAAACACACACCTAACCCTACCAACAGAAAATGGGGCTACACTGGCTGTCTATCAGCACATCCAATCTAAAGTTAATGTCATTCTTTGTAGCCAAGCTTTCAATTATTGGGCAATGCCATTTGTTTCATTTTGCTTTGCAAGATTTTACATGTTTCTAGAACTAACCGTATCAGTTAAAAGAAAAACCAAACGACCACTGCCTGCCTTAACAGGCTTCTACAAAGCGATAGTCGGGTAATTTCATGTGTGAGAAACGAGGGAAATGCTAAGATGTAGAGTTTTTGCAGGAACCAAATGTTGCCTACCACAACACGAAGAACAGATCAGTCTTTTTAAAGTCTGCCATGGTAACTAGCTGAAAGATTAACAGCATAGGAGGGAAGGGAAGGTGGGGACAGAAAAAGAAAGAAATAAACAGGGGGAAGGGGTTGAGTAGAGGGGGAGATCAGAGGGCTTGGAAGGTTGGGGGCTGCTTACAATTACCACTTCCTCTCCATAAAGACTTTCAGATGTGCTCATGCAGTGGCCGTGGCCTGCAACAGAGCCCGCTCCATCAGCCATCGACCAGAATCTTGTATCCGAGCCAGACCCTTACCTCTTGTACTCTTCCTCTGAGCAATATAACCCCCACCATCACCAAGCTACTCTCCTAAGCTCACTTTTTTACCACAGTGCTCGAGTAAGGTTGTAGCCGCCATCATGCGCGAGACTGTAAGAATCATATTTGTTTCTTTTGGAGGTTAATAAAACCATCAGCAGTGGCTTTCCCCCCATTTCAATACCACATTCTGACTGCATATAAGACAAAAATGGATTCAGACTGTGCAAAGTATGTTTGAAAAAATTATTACTATTTATCCTGCAATTCTGGATGACCAGTCCAATTTTGTCTCATAAGCTGGGTCGGAGTGAGAGCCAACAGCAGATTCCGACAGAGGGTCCATAGAATACTTACAAACAGACAAAATAATCTCCCGTCTAAACACCACTGGGATAAGGATTGTTTTAACAGTGTCAACTCAGAGGCTATTAATTACGTTTTTAATGTGTTAACACTGATGCCTGCTGTGACCCAAGCAATGGCAGCGCAGAGACACACTGCTTTGTTTATTTTTAGCTCCCAGGGTGTTGCGCAGTGAGGGGAGGAGAGTTTATTTCTCTTCCCTGCTTCTCCATCACCCTGTGTTTTCTCTGGCTAGGGGGAGAAAGAAAAGTGCCACCACCTTCTCCTGGGAATTTCACAGCAAGTGCTCTCTCTCTCTGCTCCTTGCTCTATCCTTCTGGAAAAGAGTGGCGATAATGCCGGGCTATCCGGAAGAGGAGGAGGAGGGGAAACAGGGAGTTTGTAACCCAAAATAAAGAAAACAAAGAAAAGAAATTGACACGCCTGTAGATAAGGGGCTGTGGGAGTGAATGGTGTGATATTAGAAGTGTTGGGATAAGCTGGGAGATAATCCGCTCACCCCTGGATTTCCTCTGGCTACTACAGCAATAAAGCCTCCGAGACAAAAGCATGAAATATCCAATAAGTAGCCTTCTCACCGTGCTACACATTCCTGCTGCCACTGCCTTCCTACCAGAGCAACCAAGCAACTTAAGAGTCAGTGTGCCCACACACACACACACACACACACACACACACACACACACACACACACACGCATATAAAATAGTTCAACTACAGACACTGCTTCACTAACTTCTGAGCCCCAGAGGAGGGATAAAGGTGACACAAACAAAATTATTTTTTTGTTACCCTGCTCTTGTCTGTCTGGCAATTCTCCTTGGCAACTGAGATATCAGTGGGAGGCCAGGGAGTTTGTCTGCTCTCATATGTAGGAGAGGGGGCTTAAGACTGAAATCCTATTAAACAACTCTTATGTGACAAACATGGACAGGGCTCCATTCAGACCCCTGGCTGAGTTTGGCATCTCACCGCCTTCCATTGTGGCCATCCAACGGCCCTCTGGAGATCAAGCCATCAGTCTGATGAGCAGCCCTGTGAAACTGACAGATACACCTCGGACATATGGCGGCCTTATTGGAAACAGATTACTGATTTCTAGGCACCTTTATATAATGAACATCTGTCATTAAACGAAGAGTTCATACTAAAATAATTTCACACAGTGAAGAAGACTGTATATATTTTGCTATGCAGGATGCATCCCATGTCATTTTGTGTCGTTTTGCAACGATTATCAACAAATTTATATTCATACTGGTTGTTTTAGTGTCCATGGTGATGCCATGCCAATTTGTTTTAACTGATCTGAGGAGGCGTAAACTGGTTGAATATATTGCTCATTTGCTGCATATCCTGTTGTCTCCTTCTCCTTTTCTGGTGCCTTTCCACCATTGAGATATTTACCATTTTGTTTTTTTAAGGTTGGTGTTTTTTAAATTAATGCTCCCCAATACTTATTAGATAATCCTTTTAATGAAAGAGAGAGCTTATTTTATCCTCAAAATCAAGCTTCAATTTACCAACGACAGCTGGAGTAAATGTCTTGCTTGAATTTTCTATTGGCTTAAATGGGTTGTAATTGCAAAGGAGGGTCACAGCATAACCACAAAGAATGTGAGCTGCTGGTTCAAAGCTGTATATTGAATAAGCAGAAAGAAAAGCACATCGTGGAAAAGATTTGGCCTTCCTGTCACATCTAGCAGTACTCCTGAAGGGATACGTTAATACCAAAAGCTGCCCTTTGTTTATGATAACTTTTTAGGCTAAATTAAAACATTGTCACTGTTGTGTTCTCTGCCATAAGGAAGTGAAAAGTAAATCATTTCTGGGGTTTTAGCCTGACTGATTTCAAAATACATTATGGTGCATTAAGAAAAATAGCAAATACTGAAAAAATACTGTGACATAAATTATAAAAATGGATTTACTCATGTTCGTTGATGTACAGCTCTGACAACTCATGCCACGCTTCTTGGTCCCCAACAAACCTGTTAATACAAAATGACAATGAGTTTTACATCAAGCCATAACAGTAATAATACAATAGAGAATGCATCTGTAACATAGTAAAGGCAAATGTAAGCATTACCTATTACAATAACAATAATGACAGTCATCCAACTGTCAAGGTAGAAGAAAGAGTTTCCTGGGATTTTATGCACAAGCTGTGCCAGCTCAATTGAAAGCAAACTTGGTTTTTAATTAAAATAAAAGCCAGGGAAGGTGGAGAGGAGGGTGGTGCCTGACCCTCTCCCCCCTCCTGTAGAAAAACTCACTGTTCCAGATATTCATTGAGCTCCCGGATGGCTTCAGCGCTCTTCCCTTGGGCCTTCAATATGGAGATCTTGCGCTTCCTTGCTGCCTGTAGAGCAGAGAGTAAACAGGATTAGGAACTCAACTCCTCAAGTGTTTGTCTGAAGGGGGGTGAGCGGATGAGTGAGTGTAAGAGTTGTGAGTTTAAGTGTGTACATTTGTGTCGTTTCGGTGCACCGTAATCCTGCTCTAAGTTTTGCTATGAGACTGAATCATTTCTATAAGATGAATCAGCACTTTGGGGCATTACAGCTGCAGCCATAAAAATAAAAGCACAAAAGGCACAGACACTTTTGACAAAGTTAACTTTGTCAAGTTTATTCATATTATTACTGGGACATTTAAATGAATAAAAGCCTACCAAGACATAATTGGAGATAGTTAGTGGCCATGTCCAACAGGAGATGGACACACACATTATGAGTCAATGTTTGGGAATTGGAATGAGCTCAGGGGCTGAGATAAAGATGTGAGTCATCCCCTAACCAAGTGGGGAAAATGGCACGCTCCCCCCAAACCCCAACGCCTGTCTTCCTGCCGGCACGGCACGCATCTAGTGCTGCACCAGCCCAACTGAAAATTGCTTTCCGCTTCGTTTTGATGTTGAAGTGACCTTAAGGTGGATTAGAATCTCATCAATCAGAATTAGAAAGTATTACTCCTGCTGCTGCTACTTTTCCAAATGTTTTACTCCCACCAACCCTCCTCCTCCTTTTGGTAGTAAGTGAAAACCTTAACAGGAGGCTGCCGCTCCATTAGAAGTGCACTGCCCTGCCATAGCCTATTTTATTTATGGACTGGCACTTGATTGAGTGGGGCTTCCTCTCCCTGCACTCATAACTAAAGCCATCGAGGGCTGTGTATGAGTCATGTCTAGGGGGCTGTAAATTTGGGCCTCTTCTGACACTGCCATCACAAGAAATCCACTTATCCATCAAGCTGGGACAGGGACCTGCAGAGACACTGCAGCCTCAAATGACAAGCAATATTTTAGCCTTTCAGAGAAAAACAGCAACAGACAACATCTTGATAAAAACAAAGAAGGATTCTAACAATTACAGTAAGGATATCTACCTACACTGCAATGCAACTTATTCCCAAACCCTGTTCACATCTGCACATGTGTATTTTTAGTATCAAGGTGGTCTAAAGGGAATTTGAAAATGTTTAAAATAAGTTATCCAGCAACGAGGAGCAGTGAAAGGTCAACCGATTATTTCCTCGTTTATGTCCTCTGACTATAAAACAAAAGATCACACCACTTTACATTCAGTGCATTTCACCAGAACTTGATGCTATGTGAGATTCAGGAATTTATACTCTAAATTACAAGCATGTGGGATCTTTCCTCATCCAATACTGAAAAAAGGAAGCAGAAAAAAAATTAAACAAACACAGCAGTGATGTTGAATGTGGATTTTTGCACTTGTGCTCTCCCGCCATCACTACACCCACCTCTCTCCTCTCCCCGTTTTTTCCCCCAGATAAAGAACACTTGGGGCTCAAAGGAACATATGGAAGTTGGTAGCCCAGAGAGTCACACAGCACTTTATTAAACGAGAAGCAATTCCAAACCACTCCTCTCTCTCCTCCTTTCTCTAACTAATGATCCAGAAAAACCTGGCAGTGGGTCTGATCCCTCTGTTGTCGTGATTCTTTTTTAATTAGCGGTCTGAGGAGACCTTAAGAGTGAGAAGTGGATTATTTACATCACCCCTGGCTCTTTGCTAGGACCTACCGCAACCTTCCTTTAAAATAAGAAACATCACAACAAGGGTGGCACATTGCACAACGTTGATTAGACTGAGGAGAAAAAGGAACAGAAAGAGCGAATGACAAGTTCAGACAAATATTAATGTTGTATGATGCTGTTAAAGGTGTGTTTACTTCTGTACAAGCAGTAATGGAGGCGTATACTTTCAATGATCAGTAACAAAACGGAATGTTATTTTTTTTTTAACGGTAAGGCTTCCATGAATTTAGTGAGTGTACTTCACATTTATGTGGTTACAAGATTCTGAATTGGGGCTTTGAATTTCAGAAGACTTGCCCCACACAATCTTATAATATAATCGTGTCCTACAATGAATCTGTAATTGCATACGATTGTGGGGCAACCTCAGGAGTCGTCTATGTGACCTCAGTGGCTTATTTAAGAAATACTAGCTTTTTATATTGAACAATTAGGGTGAAATGAGAGCATTGGAATTCATTATTAATGCAATCACTGAGTCAACTCAATGTGAAAAATAAATAAATAAATAAATTGGTACAAATAGTGTGGGCACTAGATAATCTAAAATACTCAGGAGAAAAAATAAAAAGGTGGAAAAAAAATGCATTTACGCACGCAGACAAGAATTTTGCCAGATCATTGCTGTAGGTATTGGAACATAGCAAGCAATGGAAGGGCTAAGAGTTTGAAACATTTTTTGGACACCGCCATGGCAAAAAAACCTTGAGCAATTTTTGTTGATTCAACAATTTTGGTTAATGGGTACCACATCTATTCCACAGCCTGTAATTACAACAGCTCAGTTTCCAATCTCTGCTTCGCATGCTGGGATGCCTCGCAAGTCTTCCTTGTGGTCGCCAATTTTCCGCCATTTCTCAGGCCCCTCCCCTGCCTGATTCTCAAGAGCATGTTGGGAGAACAAGTAGGGAGGCGATGGCCCTCACTCCAAGACAGGTGACCTAACCTATGTCATTGTATCATCACCCCACCCTCCGCCACTACACCCAAGGCATTCAGGACAAGGATGGTGGGAAAAAGGTTTAAGGTCAACATCCCTGGGACAGAGGACCTATATGTCTGTTTTGTTCCATTCCCAGCCCCGGGTATGACTGACAGCCTACGCTCGCAAGGGTGGCAGTATCCAGCGTGCAGAGACCGGGAAACTGACCATTCCCTTTCCGAGGATGTCCCTGGAATCCCCAAAGGATCTGTGCCATGTCGGGGAGGTGCCCTGGGATTCACTGAAATTACAACTCCCATTGTCCAAACTGTGGATAAATGTGAAGCAATTTGTTGCAGATTACGCCAATTACATGAACATAAATTTGCTGGAGGAGCACCCATTTTGTATATGAAAATGACAGTGTTACAAGAAAATAACATGATTTGTGGCTTTTGACTTCAGTCTTGTGTTGGACAGCATGACTGGGACAAAATCCTTTCATAATATTCACTGCAACCATCCCAGTGTATTATCCTTGTCAGACATGGCATGGCTCAAGCCCTCAGCATAAATTAGGAAAGTAGACAGTCACACAATGTTTTTGCAAGTTATGTTGCTTTTAGTGTTGCCAGAGACTTGTTTTAGGCAGCATCAGCATTTTGTTAGCATCCATAATTACTGGACACTATCAAAAAGAATAAAACCAATTATAATTGTTTTTCAGCCCTTCGACTATATTTTGAGCACAAATGCGACATTCAGCCTATTCTCTGCCTTAAAAAGAAGTATATTGCTTGACCTAACTACTATTTTAAATTGAAATATAACTGAGAGGAGCTGCCCATGTAAACAGTCATGTCCCTTGTTTTAAAGGCTGACTTGCCAATCTGACATGCAAACTTCCAACAGCAACAAAAGCGTAAAATAAACAGAGATGGTCTTGACAAAGTGAAGGTGGGAGTGAGACGTGGCGTGAGGCAGCAGCTGTGGCTAGATAAAGATGAGGAGGCTGTTCCTCTATGCCACAGTGAGAGCAAGCAGGGTGGGGTACATCAGAGCGAGGTACAGATTTTTCAGCAAGGCTTTTATTTGTTTAAAGCAGATAACCGACGATATGAAGAATCTTCGCATGGCATCCAAAGCACAAACGTCTATGCTGTGCCTGTAGCACTGAGAGAAAATGTTTAATACATCTAAAGCAATCCATATGTTAGTATGGCACAGGAAACTTGTTGAACATCTTTGGGGTGAGGGGTGAGAGGTGCAGCCAAAATAAATAAGGTCATGGTTTCTTTTGAAAACCCTTTAAATGATTTATTTTCTTGCATGGCCACATGTCCTTATGGAAACAATTAACAGCAGGTACATTATGTTTTGGGTTGGTGGTGTGGGATTGGCAGAACACTGGCTAGACATGCTTCTGCAAGTCATTTCACAGAGATGAATAGTAAATTGAGAAGAGAAGATAGCAAGGAAAGAGCTTCAGAGAAGGCTTATTTAGGACATGTCTGTATTAACTGCACCACAGCAGACTTTGCACCTGAAGTCAATGGAGAAGGTGGGACAGGAGCTCAGCCCTGTTCACTCAAGGTGGGGGTCTGAAAGGTCCAGTAAATCACCATCTTCAAAGGCCAGATCTTTATTTACGCTTTACTTCCACCAAACATGTCTGCCACGGACTAAGGCCATGAATCAGCCCCCACCCACCCAGACCCCCCTCCTAAACACTTTTCAGTTGGGCGGCTGATCAGCACTGCGATTGAGGTCAGAGGGGCCAAGAGGAGTTTGACTTAGCATACTCACACTGCTAACACCAAAGTGCCTCAGCAGATTTAAAGCCCTCCAAAAAGTCGAGACCACAAAGTAAAGCAAAGTAGAACACTAAGCAGAGGGATTTTCCCCTTTCTTTCCCTGCTTCTCACTCTTACCGTGTTGGTGGGGTCGTCTTGGAGAATGGCATCATAGTGCTTGTTGGCCTCGTCGTACCTTCAGAGAGAGAGAGAGAAAAGAATACAAATTTGTTTTTTAACCAATCCCAGTCCATAGTCGGGTAAGATTAGGTGGTGGGGAAATCAAACAGAGTTCAAAGTAATCAAGTTTCTGTATACAGCGTGGCAGGTTCCTATGATTACAGTGAGGCTGTACAGAAATCAGTGGTGATCTAAAGGAAGAAATAAACACTCATTTAAGTTTAAGTTGCTGCTCACACAGCCGACATTGTGAGAGGCTTACAGTATATCACTTCACAGTGAGTCATGAAATCAATATAAACAAAGCACATTGTTTTGAAAATTGTATTTTCATTTGATTGTATCCAGTTTGATTCACCTTTAAACAAAATTAAATTGCTGCTTTTACATGTGTCCAGATCCGCAGAAAAGTTGTTGGTTCAGTTGTCTGTCTGTCGGCCCATACGTATTACCACAATACACGCACGAACCCAATAAGCAACAATATCCAACACAGAGCACCTCAAACCGTTGGACTGAGCCCACATGATTCTGTTTAAAGGGGAAATTTATGAGCTGTAAATATCAAATCATACGGTAAAGAAATCTGGGAATAGGAGGCATGTGCACTTCACTTGTCATGTTAAATCAGGCGCTGAAGGATGATTTCAGAACTTTTTTTCTATCGGGGGCAATCTGCAGCACTGACGTTCTAGCAGCCAAAGGCGGGGATCAGTGATCAGAAACTGTCCCACCCACAGCCTGCAACAGACAGAAGCAACTCTGGTTCCCATTAGCACTGAGAAGCCCCACTTCCAGCACTGCTGCTTCCCTCACATTCACTTTATTACTCAGCCACACTTTGGGAGATTTCAGATGGCACCAGGCGAGCACTCACGAGCCACTTTGATTTGCTTTATTTATTTAGGAACCAAGTGTGTGTGTTTGTGCGTGTGTGTGGAGGGGAAGGGCCATGTTGTTTGAAGCTGTGTCATTCAAGTGTAGCTCTGTCTGCTGCCAATTAGATCCCAGTGTGCCGTTTATTTAATCTGACAGTGCCGAAGCAATCACTCTCAATTATCACATAAACTCTGACATAACCGATAAACCAGCAATGGTGATCCGGGAGGGGAATGTGAGCGAGGTGGTAAACAGATTGAATTACCCTTACTTCAGTTTACTACAGACTAAAATATTCCCTGTTTATCTTTTCTTGCTCCATTCTGCTTACGGTTTTGATATATATAAACTGCAGAGTCAAAAATAAAACATCACTGGAGGGGGCAAAGCTGAGATTGTGGTGACATGTCAATATTTACAGGGCTGAGAGATTACTTGTTTTGGTCTCTGTACCGAAACAGGACGGGAAAGAAAGCATGAAATTAGGGAGGGCAAAGAGAGAAAAATAGAGAGAGAGAGAGATGAAGAGTTACAAAATAAGGACACAACAGAGGAATAGAAACCAGAGATGATTGAGGGACCCCCAGAATAACAGTGGGATCTGACCACTTCCTTCCCGGGAATCCCTAACTCAGGCTAAAAGGGCCACAGGACTACCCAGTGCTGAACCTTTCCTCTCTCCGTTCCCTTCTACTCCAAAGGAATGCTGGGTGATCCAACATAAACACATCCTACCCCACACACATACTGTACTTACACACACCCAGACCATTGTACCACTTAGGATCTGCTAACAGTTTCTTGCCCCCAAGCCACCCAAAGTACCATACATAACTGTGAGGCAGAGCTTTTTCTTTGGCTGCTCTGTCTCTGGAGCTTTTGGTACCCGATGCTTACCTTTCCAAAGCTTCCAGCCTCATGCCCGATAATCGCTTCACTCTGTGGCTATCTGGAAACTGCTTCCTCAGTTCCTGTAGACAGGTCTGCAAGGATGTGGGCAGAGGAGAGAGACCAATTACAGTTGGCTGTAACTAAACTTTGTTACACTCTTGCTCTCACACTCACACTCACACACATAGACACAGACACAGACACCTCTACAGATACAAACCACCTGTCTTGAAAATGTCAGATTCTGCCTATGTATCAGGGAAACAAACTTAATATATTGATATACAAACAGACTGTTAAAAGGCAAATTGCAGTCTTGGATGTGTGTTACTACTGTATGTTAACCATTTAGGCAACCATGCTCGCTACTATAAAAAGCAGAGTGAGGATGCTCTGTGCCACTTCCTCGTCTACACAGAGCTTGAATTGGTTTGAGCACATAGTAGTGAAAGAGGTGCAGAATTCTGAAAAAGTCTGCAGTGTGACCTGAATCATTTGCGCATTTGGTCCTTCTTCTTTTTTAAAAGTCTGGCAGCAGAGCTGAAAGGATAGCCAACAGACAACTAATTCCAGTGACTGAGTTCTGTCTTTTCTGAACTCAATGTGTCATTCTTTTTGCCGAGGGAGTTGTTTCATACATACTGATTGGAGATGAACCATTTCAATTACCATGGTCTTTTGTCTTTTTTGTTTTATCCCATGCAGATTTGACCATTTTCAGAGCTATGAATATTTCAACATGAACTCAGAAACATCACATTAAGCTTTAGGATGGCAAATAAATCCTGAGGGAAAAAGCAGTTGAACTCTATAAAAGATTGCCAAGTTCAGCTAACACTTGAAGCATGCTTCTCCACTCATTTGCTACACCCTCTAATTCCAACTCTCAGCAAATTGTTTTTCCAAAGTACAGACAGAGTAATACCCTTTGGCCAAATAAAAATCAGATTTTCACATTTGGCAGAGGGGGTGCTGCAAAGTAGAAATGGCTGTGTGAGAGTGAGCGATGGCTTTTGAAACTCTTGGGTGTGTGAGCAAGAGCGGTAAAAACTTACCAGAGCCAAGTCATCCCGACTGCAGTCCAGAGCTGCGATCATCACCTGCTCATAAATAATCCATACTAGGCAGAAGAGACGGACAAAGAAGACTGTGTTAACGCCCTTTCCTTTCCACTGTCTGGTGTAACATGAAAGTATGACATATTGAACTGTACATTTGACGTCCCAACATAGAGTGTGTCCCCAACAGCTGCACATCATGTTTTTTAGTCACACAAACAAGCTTCCATGATGTGAATCAACAGCTTAAGATTTAATTCAAAAAACTTTCCCCATCTAATTTAGTATGTAAGGCTACATTTACTATTCTCTGTATGGAATATACTAAAGATAATGTTGCTTGTTAAAAACCATACACTAATCTAGAACTTGGACAGCACAGCGGTAATAGGAATAGTCATAAATGCAGGAACATTTCAAGTAAACGCCCTTGTGTAAGGCTTTACAGTCATGTTATAGATTTCCCCACAGTGAGTTGGTAATAAATCATTAATCCAATTTCAGCAACAATGTTACATTTGAGAAGATTTAATATAACGCTCAGGGAAAATAAGTTGTTATGTTTGTTATAATCACCTCTGAATTTCAGATTGAAGTTGAACTATCTGAAAGTTAGCCTACACCCCCACCCACACATGATTTCCCTCATTATTAGACGCTGTCCTTACATGGTGTTTGAGTATAACTGAGACATGGAAAAGGTTATCTTTGAAAGTAACAGAGGAAAAAAGGAGTCACAAGTTGGGCAGTTAAATAAGGCCAAAGCTACTTTTTTAGAAAAAAACTTTATTAAAAACACTGTTGATGCCTTGTGAAACCAAAGTAGCTGAACTAACATTTCTGCACAGGTCATGCTGTTTCTCATCCCTCACTTTGGGTAGTGTGACGGTGTTAACAGTTACTCTAGTTCACATGCCAGAACAAGTTTTAACAGCGACATGTGGTTGGGTTAACAATATAATGCGTCCGTTTTCACATAAAATAGAAAACATATATATATTAGTTTCAACATAAACACAATATAACATTTATTTGCTCAGTGAGCGACATTAACGCATTAGCAATAAGTTTACTTAAAGGTTCTAAATATCCTGACACTTTCCACCACAAATAGAATTATTTATGAATGTTTACATTAAAGTGAATTATGGATGGATGGGTGGTGATTACATTTCTAATGCACAGAATCCTCCAAAAGGCTCTGAATAGTCCATTCTTAAACTACTATTATAATGTGATACTAATTTGAACATTAAGTTGTAACGTGGTTGTAGTTGGTCACATAGAAAATTGTGCAAATATTAGACATCTCTGCCATCTCCACTTTCTACTGCATAGTGCTTATTGAGACTCCTTTAGAGTAGAGACCTTGTGGCTGAATATTATCAAATATGATCTATAGACACGTAAAGCCAATCTCAAGCAAGTCGAAGATTTTTAGCATTGTCATATTTATATACAAACAAAGAAAGGCATGTTGAGCAAAATCATTAACTGGCACAACCATTCCTTTAACATGTTTTACTTGGTGGTTAGCTATAAAAACAAATGAAATGTATTTTTCATTCAGTTAACTGTAACATTTTAACATACTGACTAATAGCCTGGCTACAGAAGCCAATTAATGAAATTAATACAACATGTTAGACAGACAGCTTTGACAAGCAAACTGGACATTTTCAGCCAAATGAACACCCCCTGCTAATTGAAAAGAATAATAAAAATCCAACTCCACCCAAAAACTGGCATGTCATGCCAAAACAAACAAATGCCTCCAGTTTTTCTTGACTTAAATGATTCCAACTCTTGTTTTGATAATTGCCATCTCATTTCACAGCCAATTTAAGAGCTGGTTTCAATAAAACCATGGCATGTTAATGTTTATCCGCCTCTTTTGAGGACTGTATGAATCATAATGACTATGGGAAAAGGGAGAGTTTATGGGGTAATGCAGCAGGACAGTACTGTTATAAAGGAAACCATGACCTCCCATATGTTTATGGTAGGTAAAACTCACTACTGCTTCAAATCTTTAAGAAAACCTAGGCATACTGTACTCCCTGCTTTAATAAGCAATTACTATGTACTAATCGGCCTTTCACACCATTATAATTACTGTCTTGTAAACTTCCCTGCATACAGTATGTCTGAAATACAAATCATATTTAAATTATTTTCTGCTTTTACAAGTAATCTACTTTATTTCTGGTGACATTGCATACTCATCATCTAGGTCACCACACCAGGAAATATGAAAATGTTAACCTGTTTCCACTAAATGCTTTTCCAAGTTTTCCAAGTTAAGTACTTTACCTTTCCCTGTCCTTTTAATGCAAGCAATCTTGTATTTGTGGATTTGGCTTTTCAGCCATGACTGTCTCTATCTGTGTTTCCCACATCACAGGAAACCTAAGATCCTGTTCAGAAATGTATCCAATGGAAACATATATACCACAAAAGAGGGGAGAGAAAAATATCCAGCTCACTTAGATCAATCCTTTCTCACACAGTTGTACAGTCCCAGAACCCACAGTCAATAACTTTAGCCTGGTTGTTTTTACAGGCGCTACAAAGCAGAAGATCCTCCTTTCAAAAATGTTTTTAAAATCTGACCATCTCTCACTTCAGTAATGTGAAGTGACAAGATGTATTTTGTGTTGTTACCAAAACAGTCGTAAACTAAAGTGAGTTCATCATAAAGGCCTTTCATTTCTCTACTTCAGTGCGTTTACAGTCTCTTGTTTTAATGCATTAAAACAAACTAAGACATTCTCAACTTGTTGTCTAATCTAATTTCTAATGGTCTAATCAGAAAATAACAATGCACCTCATAGCCAACTCCTCCTCAACACCATTATCCTGGCTCAACTCCACCTGTTAAAAGGTTCTGTGAAATGATGTAAAGTGACATACTGCTTTATTTAGTCTTGACACACTTACTGTCATCTCCCAGTTTAGATGAATGTTCACTGATGAGCTCTTCACCAACATCCACAATCTGTTCACTGTTTCTGTAGTTGTCTTCTCTCCATTTACGCAGCTTGTCTCTCATCTCTGTGGACAAAGATGTTAAACCATAAGGCCAGTTGTAATCTATATCAACAACAGCTTTCATCATGATGTGTCAACCCTGGATCTGAACTCTGAGTCGGTGCAATGCACGATTTGGGACGAGATCATGAAAAGCAAAATACATGAAGCTTCACTGTAATGTGCATTAACCTTGTTCATTTATTTTCCGTCATTTGAACTGATGTGTGTGGTGGGACCAAAGTTGCCGGGTCTAGTCAATGAACCCCAAAATTATAAATCCAAATACATTCAGTTCAAATTATCGGTGAACCGCTACGGTTAGGTTTGTGCTACCAGTACCCTTGCAAATGTCCAAAATGGCACTGACAGTACTATTGCACCATTATTACTGTGTTATATGGGCTTTACAGAACCAGAAATCTGTTGCTACGTAACGTTAGCTACAGCTAACGATAGCCGAAACCACTGTAGCCATGAATGGCTAGCATGCTACAGACGGTAGATGGTTATCTGAATATAGACAGACATCGCTTAGTGCTTTACATGAAACACTACTTTAGCACCACCAACAACTAAGATACAAATGGCGGACATTGAGCTAGTATGGAATCATGTATGGCTTAATCCGATAAATTAGCTCAACCATGCTAACTAGCATTAGCTAACTCCTTTCCACGCCGACTCGCATTTTCAGTGTGGAACGACGACGACCATCCGCCATATTCTTGCACGAGAAAAACACAAAGGAAACAGCGACTGCCGTAAACATAAAAACATGTGTCAATGACACTTGAGGAGGATCTATTCTATCTTTTGTCTTACCTTCCCAACCCACATCGTACATCTCTGATACCGACGCCATCTTTTCTCTTTTGACAACATACGGCGTGCCTACGTCATGGACTTGCCAGCTGTAGGCGTGCCTGACGTTGGTAAAAAAAAATAATATCTATAATAATAATAATATGATGTATGATACTGTAATAATAATAATAATTATTATTTTAATGTTATGAGATGTGATATGATTTATTTAAAAACATATCTATAGGAAAAAAATCACTTAATGTTTTGTGCTTGGCTTCTATTCAAGTTGAGTTAACTGGTCATTTTGATTTTCATCCCCAAATTGAACATGTTAGGCACATGTGAACATTAGGCATAGGGCAAAAGTGATTTCTGTATACAATAAACCTACATTTGCATACCTATTTCACTGTTGCAGCATGCAGCATACATTTTCAATCCAGATGATGACGTTCTCATGCTCCATTTCCATTTTTATATAATCCCTCTTCTAAGTATTTGGTAGGACAGTCGGCAGAGCCTAGAATCAGTTTCTTCCGAAAATATGAAATGTGCTTTCCAAGCACATCTACCATTTATACTGATTTCCCTCAGGAGCCGAATCTCTTCCCCTCCCTGTGTATGCTTGCTTACACACTTCTCTCTTACCACATTACACACTTGTTGATGTGCGCTCAGCACAAACTTGCTTACAAAGACATTTCAGAGATCTGATGTCATATCCAGTGCTGCTCACTGCACACAGCCTACTGTTATGCATACTTTGTCGATGTTCTATTGTAAAGGACAACAAGGAGATGTTTTTTTCTTCTTCTAAAGGACACTGATACTGTAAAACAGCCTAGCGTCATCAGTAATGGGCAAGTGCATAAGGGAACGATGAAATGTCATCATCTCTGTCAGGGATACAAATAATAACGCTGTGTACAGTTTAAGTTACGCTCAGCTTTGGCGATCTTTGCACTTGTAATTTTCAAGTCTGCACATGGCAGTCAGTTGATATGTGGTTGGGTTCTTGCTGGAACACCAAATACCAAAGAAACCACATTAAAACAATCATACACTGTCCTTTGGGGTAGAGGGCTTTCCCCTGTCTGCCAAGGTGCCACTGAAGGCCAGGGCCCCAACAGTGACCTGCAATAAACACCATGCAGTGGGTGTGACTCTTGGGATTTCAGGACATGATGGTAAAAGTGCTCTGTGAACAAGCTGTCTATAACTTTGAGATGCAGCTGGATGTGGTGGTGGTGAAAAAAGCCTCTTGACATAAGGCGCCTGTTTAACTTGGAGCAGCTCTCTTGTACAGAAATGTCACAATATGGGAGATCAGTTGCAGCCATCTGAAAACCCAAATTGTGCTACTTGACTGCTGCTTACGTAGGTTTCCATGCTCTGGAAGCCCCCACATATGGCACACAGGACAAGCATATATATATTTTCCTTTTCAGTCTCCATGTATGAAAAGAAAAAAGAAATATTCCAGTAGAAACACTTCACAGGCATTATATTTTGATTTCTGACAGAAGCAATCAGAGTTGGCAATCTCTAAAATGAACAGTTATGGACTAAAAATTGAGGTAAGGTTGAGGTGCTCTCTGTGGTTTTGAAATAGTTCCTGTTCCATCTAGATTTCTTTTTCGTTGGTGTTGTACAGTGAGTTGCGGAAAATGAAGACAGATGCAATTAGCAACAATGTTTGGACCCAGCCTTCTGGAGCCGGCGGCACTGTGTTTACTTTGAAATCTGATTAGGTCCCCTGTCTGACCAAGTTGCTTTCACCTCACCGCGAATAACTCTGTACAGATGACTTCAGCACGCTTTGCCTCTGATGGACTCCCTCTATTGCACCTTTGACCTCACCCATATCCTGAGTGAGAGGCCCTGAGCGGGAAATTATGGCACATCACAATTAGGCTTCCTCACTCTTCTGCTCTTCTCTCTCTTGGCTTTGGTGCCAAGAACAATATTCAGCCCCATGTCAGAGCAGCACCACACTGGTAATTGATGTTACTCACACAGTGCGAAGCTTAGGATGTATTGCTCCCCTGACACCTCGTGTAGTAGCGTGATTGCTTATTGTGGATCGGAGTATTACCACATGTAGTATATTATGTGTTGGTAGATTGGTTTTAATAGCCCGTCGTCCTTTCTCATTAAATTCGAACAAGGATTTAACATCACCATGCATGAGAATACCTCCAGACGACTTCAGCACTGCAGGCTGTAGGTGATGGTCACAGTCATCTCGAGAACTGATGGTAATTTAGACTTAGAGAAACTCATCCTTACAAGCTCTTGAGACCATAAATTGATTTCCACATGAACATTCCTTTGCTCCTCTTGGAATTTATTACAGTAAAAAAAAGAGATCACATTGTAGGACTTTACATTCGAGCCTAATCTTACATAACCCTCGTGCAGTCTTATTAAAGAGAAAGTTTGATCTCTAAGAGAGTATTTGGCAGTGATGTGACAATTTTGACACCTCTGAGCCAAATATTGAAATTTTTTCTCCGTCGTATCCAAGAATCACATCATCCTCATCTTAAGTTGCGGCAGCTGGTGAAGTTCATTCATTCCAGCCGCATTTTCTTATAAGGTTCCAGCTTGAAATCAAAGTACTTCTGCAACCTCTCAGGGGGTCTAAACTATGGTTTGACATTCATAGAAGTCGTGGCTGTTGTCTTACTGGTCTTACTTACTTTCCATTATTTCAAGAGTGGTTTTATACAGAGGCCGCCACTTAGCTAGATAAATACACACAATAGCAATTATTACAGAAATTTAAAATCCACAGGAAGAGGAATATTCAAATCTCATCCCCCCGTGCAGTGGAAGCCTGTAACTACACAACATAATCTGGAGTTATCAGATTTCACTTTTCTTTTCTGGTTCAGAATGCTCATGACCGCAAATTTGGAGATAGCGCCATGTTCTCTGTAATGTCATGTTTTCAAAGAAAATTGCAGAGGAAAAGTGAAGTTATGCATAACGAGAGGAGCAAGCATGGGAGCGGAGCTTTGCTGAGGAAGGATTAGAGGGGTCAAGTATTGATCGACTCCTATGTGTGCCTTCTGTGATATTGCTGATGTGTGCGAGTACAAGTCACTCCTTGTTTGTGCGGCAGACATGTGTTGCGCAGATGTCCTGCCATGCTTGGTGCCATTGGGTCCTCGCTGCAAGTTTGTATTGTTTTCTGGCCCACAGGTCTGGTCGATAACCTTCATCCCCGTTGCCATCGGGTGTGACAGTGCTGAAGTCAGCACTGGGCACCGGATCAGGAGTGTGGGCCGCTGATTTATAACCTGACACACACTGGGAGCGAGGTGATGCATATCTAAAAAGTTTACAAAAGAATCATTGAAATTCATATGAGATGCCGGAATTCAGATTCAGAGCAGGGATGCTTGGCTTAGCAACATCCAGCACCGAGTCATTTGTCTCCAGGTCTTATTGATTTATATTTTGACAGATATTAGAACGAGGCCAGTGGTGGGTGTCTTTGGCAGTGTCATCTCCTCTCCCTCTCTTGGATTCATTTGTTGACCAAGAAAGCTTTCAGGGAACTGGAGAGCTGAGGTTTTTCATGGAATATTTGGCCCATCACTCCAGCGCCCTTTAAGTTTATCCCATTAAGGCAAGGGAGTATTTTCTGCAAGACAAACACGTAATGATGGATAACTGTTTTGCATGCTGAATGTGTTGGTGTTCCTGACAACATCCCAGTATTGAACCTGGGGATCATGTGTGTTCAAAGCCATCTCTGCCTGCAACTGCTTCATCCCGCAATAACACACACATGCTTTGATTTACGGAGACAGGAATGGTGGATGACTGTTTATATTTACTCCACTTTTATGGGCTTTGTTTAAAATTTTGATAAGACTTTGGCCCAAACCTCTTCATTCACTATCCTGGCTGAGTATTATGGGAGTTGCTGGGAACAAATCATTAGTTACATTCACCCTGCTGGTTGGGTTGACCGAGAAGCACCTTGGCAGGAGAAGATTACAAAGTTACAGAAACATCGCCAAGACACAGTTATGTTAGAGAGCAGACCACCGTGAACTGTATCCACACAGAGGTTGAATCTGACAAACAACAATCAAAGTGAAGTAGGGCTCATGTATTCAGTAACTGTGCACAATTGCACAGCCTTGGTCTTAATGGAATAGTTGTACATTTTTGGAAGTGCGCTTATGCCTTTTTTTGCCGAGCGTTCGATGAGAAGATCACACCGCTTTCATATCTGTACGCTAAATATGAAACAGGCCAACAGCTGTTTAGCTTAGCTTCGCATAAAGACTGGGAAGGGGGAAACAGCTAGTTTGGCTCTGTCCAGAAATAACAAAATCCGCCTACCAGCTCTTCAAACTGACACGTTATATCCCGGGGGGGAGCCCTTGTCTTTGAGGTTGGTGGGTTGAATGGGTGGGGTGGTTTCCAAAGACCACAACGGGGACAGTTTTCATAGGTACTGGTTCTTCAGTAGACAGTAGTTCCAATCATTTTTTTTACTGCTGTTCCACAAACTAAACTCTATTCACCTCCACTGTTTTGGTGAACAGATATCTCAATTTGATAAAATGGCCAGATACCATGGAGAAATTTCATATATATTTTCATCTTTTTTTTTTATTCATTTGTTGGTAATTTGATGTCCCAAAAGACAATATTCCAACACAGTTGTTTTGTTTGTGTGTGCATAGCATTTATGGTTCATGAAACAAAATAGAAGACGTATCTTTTCACTGAGGCCACAACAGTATCTACAGTAACTTATAGTCTTTGTACAAGAAATGGAATCTGTGTGCAACAGCTTACCTGTTTGCTGTGTAGAAAAGCGTTTAGGTTAAGAAAGCTGCCATAGGATTACAATACCATATCCATTCTTAAGGCCAACAAATATTCTGGTATAACCCCTTGTAAAACTGCAACTTGTCATTTTTACACTTCCATTTTTATAGCGTAGTATAAAAATGATGCTAGCTGTTTTACTTGTTTCCCATTTTGAACCTTCTGCTGGCTCCAGCTTCATATTAACCGTAGAGTGGTATCAATCTTTTCACCCAACTATCAGCAAGAATA